CGACGTGTGAGGGTATGTGTGTAAGGGGGTGAGAGTGGCTGTGTGAGGTGGTGAGGGTATGTGTGTAAGGGGGTGAGAGTGGCTGTGTGAGGTGGTGAGGGTATGTGTGTAAGGGGGGTGAGAGTGGCTGTGTGAGGTGGTGAGGGTATGTGTGTAAGGGGGTGAAAGTGACTGTGTGAGGGTATGTGTGTAAGGGGGTGAGAGTGGCTGTGTGAAGGTGGTGAAGGTATGTGTGTATGAGGTGGGTGAGAGTGGCTGTGTGAGGTTCGGTGATGAGTATGTGTGTAAGGGGGCTGAAGAGTGGCTGTGTGAGGTGGTGAGCGATATGTGTGTAGGGGGTGAGAGTGGGCTGTGTGAGTGATGAAGTATCGTGTGTAAGGGGGAGAGTGACTCGCCTCGTGCAAGTGGTCGACGGGTACATGTGCTGTAAGGGGCTGAAAGTGACCCTGTGTGAGGTGGTGAAGGGTATGTGTGTCGTAAGTGGGGTGTAGAGTGGCTGCTGTGAGCGTGGTGAGGGTATGGTGGTAAGGGGTGAAATGGCTTGTGTGAGGTGGTGAGGGTATGTGCTGTAAGGCGGGGCAGAGTGGCTGTGTGAGCGTGGTCGAGGGTAATGTGTGTACAGGGAGTGAGCAGTGGCTTGTGATGAGGGTATGTGTGTAAGGGGGTGAGAGTGGCTGTGCTGAGGTGCGTGAGGGTCACTGTGTGCTGAAGGGGCGTGAAGAGTGGCTTGTGTGACGCGTGGCTGAGGGTATGTGTGTATAGTGGGTGATGAGTGGCTGTGCTGAGGTGGTGAGGGTCATGTGTTGTAAGGCGGCTGAGAGTGGTGTGTGAGCCGTGCGTGAGGTATGTGTGTAAGTCGGGTGAGCAGATGGCTGTTGTGAGGTGGTGAGCGGTATGTGTTTACAGGGGCGTGAGGTCGGCTGTGGTGAGCGCTGGTGAGGCGTATCCGCTGTGTCAGGGGGTGAGAGTGGCCGGTGTGTGCAGGTGTGAGGGTATCGTGTGTAAGGGGGTGAGAGTGGCGTGACGTGTAGTATGTGTGTAAAGGGGTGAAGTGGCTGTTGTGAGGTGGTCGAAGGGTATGTGTGTAACGAGGGTGAGAGTGGCCTGTGTGAGGTGGTGAGGGGGTATGTGTGTAAGGGGTGAGCGTGGCTCGTGTGAGGTGGTGAGAAGGGCTGTGTGAGATGGTGGCGAGTGGCGCTCGTGAGGTGGCTGAGGGTATGGTAAGGGGTGAGAGTGGTGTGTGAAGGTGGTGAGGGTATGTGTGTAAGGGGGTGAGCGTGGCTGTGTGAGGTGGTGAGGTATGTGTGTACCGGGGGATGAGCGTGGCTGTGTGAGGTGGTGAGGGTATGCTGTGTAAGGGAGTGAGAAGTGGCCTGTGTGAGGTTGGTGAGGGGTTGCTGGTGTAGGGGTGAAGAGTGGGCTGGCGTGAGGTGGTGATGGGGATGTGTGTAAGGGGGTGAGAGTGGCTGGTCGTCGAGTGGTGAGGGTAATGTGTGTAAGGGGGTTGAGAGTGGCTGCGTGGAGGTCGGTGAGGGGAGGTGGTAAGAGTGGCTGTGCTGAGGTGGTAGGGCGAAGGTCGGTAAGAGTGGCTGTGTGAGGTGGTGAGGGGAGGTGGTAAGAGTGGCTGTGTGAGGTGGTGAGGGGAGGTGGTAAGAGTGGCTGTGTGAGGTGGTGAGGGGAGGTGGTAAGAGGTGCTGTGTGATAGGTGTTGAGGGGAGGTGGTAAGAGTGGCTGTGTGAGGTGGTGAGGGGTGAGGTGGTAGAGTGCTTGTGTGAGGTGGTGGAGGGGGAGGGGTAAGAGTGCTGTGTGAGGTGGGTGAGGGAGGTGGTAAGAGTGGCTGTGTGTGTGTGTGTGTTAGTTTAGTTGATAGTTCTGGACTCACGTATTTCAGTATTGCCTTCAGCAGGATCGGATACTTTACGAGTCGGCTTCTTGGCACGTCTGAAATGGCGAACGACATCAAACAACTTATTTAAAAAACACTTCCACACGAACGGGCCGACAAACATGGTTATTTTATCAATTACAATCATGAAAACAAGGGTGCTAATAGTTATGTTGGTGGCAACACTGAACAGTGATTATGTTGATGATAAAAATGGTTGCATTGACGACAGGGTATCAGCCAGGGATGAGTATTGTGGGGGTGCAAAAAAAATAATTGGGAGCGCAATTTTTTTGAATGGTGTGTTCTTTAGATCATATTCTATGGGCCGTGCGTACACAATTTTTGGCCGGGCATAATACTGAGCCATGCCCCAAATCACGGCTGCACGGCTCGCTGGCTAATACGTTGCATTGGCGATGGGGATGGACATGCTGGTGATGATGATAATAACACTTATCTTAATCAATTGGTAATAAGACAATAATTGATTATCAGTAGTTACGGCGACTACCTATTAATCAATTGGCAATAACAATAATTGATTATCAGTAGTTACGGTGACTATACCTATTAATCAATTGGTAATAACAATAATTGATTATCAGTAGTTACGGCGACTACCTATTAATCAATTGGCAATAACAATAATTGATTATCAGTAGTTACGGTGACTATACCTATTAATCAATTGGTAATAACAATAATTGATTATCAGTAGTTACGGCGACTACCTATTAATCAATTGGCAATAACAATAATTGATTATCAGTAGTTACGGTGACTATACCTATTAATCAATTGGTAATAACAATAATTGATTATCAGTAGTTACGGCGACTACCTATTAATCAATTGGCAATAACAATAATTGATTATCAGTAGTTACGGTGACTATACCTATTAATCAATTGGTAATAACAATAATTGATTATCAGTAGTTACGGTGACTACCTATTAATCAATTGGTAATAACAATAATTGATTATCAGTAGTTACGGTGACTACCTATTAATCAATTGGTAATAACAATAATTTATTATCAGTAGTTACGGTGACTACCTATTAATCAATTGGTAATAACAATAATTGATTATCAGTAGTTACAGTGACTACCTATAAATAATATACTATAGCATACAGGACATTACCAGAAGACGAAAGCGACTTTGTCATTGACAGCAATAATATCAAGGTAGCCAGAACACTCACCTAGAAAGCTCCAGAGGTCGAGTTTTCTGCTGAAGGGAGACTCGAGGCACCTCTGTAGGAAGTCCTGTACTCTGCGATCAACCTTCTTCGCATCCAGCAGCGACTTGGCGTACACTTGGTTAGCACAGTACTCCACATACGGACTTCGCATCGACGGCAGCTGTGTAGCAAAAGAACCAGACCAAACCAAACCAGACATTAATACACGTTCGATCGGTACACTTCTCACCAGGCAGCGCAAGTCACCGAGTAAAACCTCGTGTATGCCTAGCTACCTAGGTCTTTGGTTTGTGGCGTAAAATCATACATCATGACAAGAACGCTGTATGCGTTGGAAAGAAATAAAGTAGGCATTACATTATTGCCCTATTTTTCAATTGCCTTACATAACACAATGTTTTTCTTTGTGACAGCACATCTACCATTGCGCCTCGTAATGGTAGGAGTATACCCAGAATGCAGATGGCAGTATTAAAGCACAGGAAATAATTGTTGAGGGTGAAAATCAGCATTTCAATTGAACTGTAGATAGTCAACAATTAAATATGATGACATTCAGGTGACGTTTAGTTTTACATACTGCAAATTATAGCTTTGCAGTATATCAATACTGTATTATACATTACACTAGTACATAAAATCACTATCACCATCAGAGTTCTCCCTCCAGGAATTTTAGAGATTTGGATTGTCACAAACAAACACGTACAGCTGGAATTTCAAGGCATTCTGATTGGATTAGACAATTAAGGCATATGTCTGAGGAATATCGGAGATGGGAGATTTAGGGAATCTCGCATATCGACTTCAGCTTTGAAGGCACGCCGGACGCGACGCTCGTTAATCTCCCCCGCCGGTGTTGTCTATGAGATTGGGTCGCGGTCGGGGCGTGGTCGGGACGAGGGCGTGGTCGGGGCGAGGTCATGGTCGGGGGCATGGTCGGGACGAGGGCGTGGTCGAGACAAGGGTGTTGTCTATGAGACTGGGTCGCGGTCGGGGCGTGGGCATGGTCGGGGGCCTAGTCGGGACGAGGGTGTGGTCGGAGCGAGCGCGTGGTCGGGGTGAGGGCGTTGTCGGGGCAAGGGCGAGGTCGGGGTGAGGGCGTGGTTGGGGAAAGGGCGCGGTCGAGGCTAGGGTCGGGGGTGAGGGTGTGGTTGGAGCGAGCGCGTGGTCGGGACTGGGTTGCAGTCGGGGCAAGGGCGAGGTCGGGGTGAGGGCGCGGTCGGGGCGAGGGCGCGCGGTCGGAGGGTGACGTCACACGTACCCATGCCAGCAGCGCGTCACCGATGCTGTCGATGGTGTACGTCTCCGAATCACGCACCTGCTTCAGACGCTTCACCGAATCTGCAGAGAACAGACGAGTCATCGTTACTAACGGCAACGACGTAAACAAACAAGAAGCAAGCTACATCTCCCCCCTACAATATAGACTCTAGCATGGGAACAATTAGGTACATCTCCCCCTATATACCATATAAAATCTAGCCTGGCAAGCATGCTACATATCGCACATACAATATAAAATCTAGCATGGGAAGCAAGCTACGTTTCCCCTTATCAATGCAAAATGTGGTGCAGTCCTGCGAAACTGCAAAGGAACTTCACAGAAGAGCCAACCAACTGCGAGGGAAACGCAGTGCTCAGCCATTATAACATACATTTCTAGTTGTGGAAGGTATTGTGGAATGTATAAAAATTTGAATGTGGTGCAGCCCTGCAAAAAACCGCGAACAACTTCACGGAAGAGCTAGCGACGAAGGGACTGCACGATCCATCGGGATGAGGAGACCGGATGCGCGTGCGTAACCACGGTAACGAACCCTCGTGTAGCGGCAACAGACGGTCCAGCCTCCCAAAGACGCACTGCAGCTCCTCCTCCGTCATCAGCTTCAGCTGCTGCATCGAATCGCGATAGGTCTTCTTCGCGAGACGGAGGTCCTCCAGCATGTCCTCCTCTCCCTGGTACAACTCGAACATCGCCTGAAGGAGACCCGCAGGGGGGATTAGCAAAAATAATATTATTTGCTCTAACGTCCTCCAATAGGAAATCTTTTCATGCCTTTGGCACGAATCGCGGAGCGTGGGCCCTAAGTAACTGTGTTTTTTTCCTTTCGGTAAGAATTAAGTTTTATTCGCAAAGCTACTCGTTATCATATGGGTGAAATTGTTAGCCTCGCACTGGCAGTATAAACCTATTTCTACAAACGGGAAGTGGAGTAAATTAGGGTGAAGTACGTTGCTTAAGTGCACAACAGCAGTGGTCACAGACGGACTTACAAGCTCAGAGCTTTCATCCCAAAGTCTAGTGTGCTATCCACTAGACCACTTCTCCGCCCCAACCCAGTGCAACTGATAATCAACTGCTTAAACTTAACCAAGAAAATACAATATATACATATATATATATATATATACATACACGCACGTCCTGGTACTATCTAATATGCCGGACCGTACCTCGCCTACTCCACTAACGAGTCTAGGGAGTCGCCTACGCCTACTCCCTAACCCTAACCTTAACCATATCAGATAGTTACCAGGGTACGTTCCGATATATCGAATTGTACCCTGGGTACCCTCCGATAGTACCCTGGGGGACATAGACCCTCTGAGCAGCAGTCAGGAGAGAGTCAGTGCTGGAATTACTCACCGCTGTATGGAGCAGCTCAATGTCTCTGTGATTGGGAGGCGTCTGCAACAGGTCAACAAAAGGTCATAATCACATATATATATATATATAATATCAAGAGCGTATAAAGAAGGAGAGCTTACAACGATGAAATGCTGAAACCATGTTGCAGTATTAGTCAAATTAATAAACTTTCCCCGTTTTATTTTGACGATTCTTTGCAGTATTATTGATCAGCTGTCCTACCTTGTTAATATAAAACAAACCGCATGTCCCTACGATGCCCCTACGCTGAGATAATGAGCGGTGAAAATCTGGTATTTTCACCGAAAACCGACTCGAGATCAGTGTGTACTGCGACCGTCTCTCGCATTGCGATAACTTCGGGAAACCTTGCGTGTTTCCGTCATTCATTGACAAATCAGATGAATGAAAACTTGTTTGTTGTGCAAGGAACTTTGGGTAGACCATACCATACATCGCCACGAATTGTTTTCTTTGTGTTCATCTGCGTCGACTGCGACTACAATTTACAACTTTCCTGTATAACGTGTGAAGTCAGTGCAATGGCAGAACATTCAGTTCCACGAGTTATTCCAAAACTTGGACTACCTCGCCAGAGTGCTGGACCTAGAAAGAAACTCTTTCCTGTAGGCTGTAGCAAGTACTAGCACTGCCACCGAAAAAGAAATGCCTAGACTTACCCCGATTAAACGAACAAAGACTCATGATGTGGTTCTCCGAAAAATCGCCTCGGTTGGCAGCTAAACGGCAAAAAGTTGAAAAGGAAGTGCAATTATACACGTTACTCCACGACGTGTTGTTATTGATTGCCATAGTGATGACCCCCACCTCAGGCTGCCTGTAGTAAATTCCGTAGTAATGACGTAATGAGTCAGCGCCACCAGCGGCGACCGGAAGCAATACACTGGCCACAAAACGAGAGACAGTCGCAGTACACACTGATCTCGAGTCGGTTTTCGGCGAAAATACAAGATTTTTACCGCTCATTATCTCAGCGTAAGAGCATCGTAGGGACAAGCGGTTTATTTTATGTTAACAAGGTAGGACAGCTGATCAATAATACCGCAAAGAATCGTCAAAATAAATCGGGGAAAGTTTATTAATTCGACTAATACTGCAACATGATTTCTGCATTTCACCGTTGTACGTTCTCCTTCTTTATATGCTCTTGATAATATATATATATATATATACACATACACGCACGCACGCATGCACGCATGCACACACGTACACACACGCACGCACGCACGCACGCACACACACACACACACACACACACAC